CGGGCCGGACGAAAGGGGGGATTGGGAAAGGGGGGGGGTACGAAATTTACTGCATGCAGCTGGTTTCGGCCTCACCGAGGAGCCCATTCCTCGATACATAGCCGCCTCCGGCGCCCGGAGGCGCCGGGAAAATCAGCTACGTGGGCTGATTCTCAAACCCCCCCTTTGCTATCCCCCCCTTTCGCCCGACCCGAGATTCTACACGTGCAACGTGCACGTTTTTTTTCCATGCAGCGAGTGTATCCCGTTATACTCGGTTAACCTTAACGGTTTTCTCACATCGGAGGCTGTCCACAGGCAGGGACACTATAACGCGAGGGCGACGGCGACGAGGACAACGATTAAGACGAGGACGACAAGGAAACGACGACGACCAGGACGAGCACGAACGAGGAGGGCGCGGGGGACGACGACGACGACGAGGACGTGGACGAGGACGACGACGACGAGAAGGAGGACGAGGAGGATGAGGAGGGGGAGGTTGAGGACGAGGTCGACGACGACGATGAGGAGGACGACGTCGACGACGACGACGACGACCCCGACGACGAGAACGATTTCGACGAGGACGAAAACTTCGACGACGTGGACGACGAGGACGAAGACGAGGGCGAGGACGACGACTACGTGGACGACGACGAGAAGGAGGAGGACGGCATCGACGACGACGAAGACGACAACGACGACGATGACGACGAGGACGGCGACGACGAGGACGACGACGACGACGACGTCGAGGACGACGAGGACGACAACCCCGACGACGAGGACGAGGACGCGGACGTCGACAACGACGACGACCGCGACCACGACGACGACGACGAAGATGAGGACGACGACGACAACGACGACGACGACGACTTGGAGCCAGCTGGGGGTCCGAGGGGGCCAGCATTAATTCCGTGGAGCAGGAAGAGGGCTGCGATATTCGAGGTTCTGGGTGCGAGGGTGTCTTTCATTTATTTCGGTCCGCGGGGGCTGTTTTCGGTCCCTCAGGCAGTGAACGAGCATTCTGGCGCGAACAAGTGCACCGCTTGGACCCCGGAAGAGATCCGGGATTTATTCTCAGCGGATTTGCCCCCACCTCCCGTTTTTGACTGCTTTCCTCGAGGTCCATCCAGTTCAGACCCCACGGCCGCTTCCACCGCCACGCGACGACGGCGGTGACGATATTCCAATACCTCCAGCGTGCTGAAACATCCACGGCTGAGGTTTTGGGCCGTTTTCGGCCCCGACAGGCCCTCGCTGGGCCCTGGCACCGTCAACGCTTGATTCAGGATGAAAGGCCGGTCCCCAGGTGGTGTCGAGAGTTCTGGGGGTCCTGTGTTCTAGACGCTTCGCGTAACCCCACCAACTCAGCTTGCCGCTCCACCCGCGCAGTCAGCCGCTGCTGGATGAGTGGGCTGGCCGGCTCGCGGCGCGTTTGGCTGCTAATTAGGCCGCTGTCGTGACCCGTAGCGCTTCTGACTCTCTTAGCGCCTTCGCTAGCGGACGCGACGAAGAAAAGTAACCCAACCAGCTCTTGTCTCCCCAGGGTCGGCTCTTGTCTCTGGCGGCTCTCGCCGCCTCCATCGCAGGGGCGCAGCTTTCTTTTGCTGGTCCCCCGCCTCTTCCGCCTCTGGGCCGCCCTGGTCCCTTCTTCCTGTCCCCCCCGTGGTGGCGTTTCCGCCGCTCCCAGGCCCCTGCTCCGACCTTTGTCGGTGCTTGGCGATCCGGAGCCTACTCCGTTGAACGCCTGCATGTCGCTGTTCGTTGTTCTCTTCGGCTGCGTCACGGCGGTCTTTGAGTACGTGGACTTTTGGATTTTCGACATTTTGGCGCTGCACTTCGACCTGGTGCCTTTCCTGGTTCTCCGCGTTTTCTGAGCCGCAGCGTAGTTCGCTCTTGTGCGCTTTGTGCATAATCTAGGCCGTTGCATTGTTGCTTCGTTCTGACGGCGCGCGGCTGTGCCGCTTGCGTTCGCGACCAAAAAAGTAAACCCGCCAGTTTATCCAGGAACGATGCCCAGGGGAGTTGTCCTGATCAGGGATATGGAGGAACATGCAATGGAATAAAAGGCCAGAGAAGCCGTCGTACCCCAAGAAGGGAAGAATGGAGGAGACGGAAGAGGAGAAGGAGGAGGAGGAGGAGGAGGAGGAGGGAGAGGAGGAGGAGGACGAAAACGAAAACGAGAACGAGGGCGAGCAGAATGACCAAAGGCCTCTTGGATGCCTCTCGGAGTCTCTTCGGATGTCTCTTGGGAGCTTTTTGGGGTGCTCTCGGGGCGCCTTGGGGGCTCCAGGCGGCCCTGGGGGCCATTCGGAGCATTGTGGGTGCTTCGGGCAAGCCTCTTGGGGCCTTTTCGGGGTCTCTTGGGAGCCTCTTGGGGGCATCATCGGGGCCTCGCGGGGCCTCCCGGGCGCCTCTTGGGGCTACCTCGAGGCACCATTGTGGGCCCTGCGGGCGATCTTGGATGAGCTCGATGAAAGGAAAGGGGTCCCTACTTTGCGTCGCCCCCCCAGGAGGCCAACGTTGACCCAAATCGTAGGGGAATCATTGATTTTCGCCTTTTCGCCGAGGCCATCTTGGACGCTCTAATGGGTCGCGACCCCCCCGTCCAGGTTTGGGGGGGTAGGGGTAGGGATCAAGACTCAAGACCCTCTCCGCCCTCCCAACACAGAAGTATCACCCGAGCCTCAGTATGTTCAGCGGTCGTGTATGGATGGGCAACTACTGGGATCCAAAGCAGGCCCCATGTGCGCGACGCTGGGACGAGGCTCGGCACGCGTGCCAGGCGCGCCACGCGCGTCAGGTGCGCCAGGCACCTGTGGGTCCCAAGTGTGCCGCCACGCCTGGCGCGACGGAGGCGCCACGTGCTCCACGTGCGCCGCGTGTGCCGCATGCTCCAGCCGCGCCACCTGCGCCACGCTTGTGGCACGCGCAGAGTTCGTCGGTTCGGCGCGCAGTTTGGAGAGTGAGGCCCCTCTCTCTCGCTTCTGCCCTTTCTACTGTTGATCCTCCCCGCGGTTTCCCATTTGGCGGGGTGGAGACCGCCAGACTACGAGGAAGAGGTGTCGCACGGGGCTTCGGACAGTGCTGAGGCCGCGCTTGCAAGTAGGAGGTGTCCTGCCCCTGCTAACTATGGTCGTTCTTCAACTGATAGGGTCTTATATTTTCTGCCGCCCCTGTGCGGCTTTATAGGGTCACGAATGCGACCAAACTCCGACGGATGTGCTGCCGCAGAGGTTATTTCGATCTCTCCCGGCTGTGGCTTGAACGCTTCCTGGCGAGCTGTGACCCGCGTGCAAACGCTGTGGCCGGGACGGTGATGGTTCCCATTCTGGAGATATATATATATATATATGTACACATATATATATATATGTATATATGCATCATTTTGGATACATGCACGTGTGTATTCATTGCGTTGACATCGGTGGAGTTGCAGGGCATATGCCAGGGGGCCCCGCATTCCAATAGAACTCTTCCGAGCAGGGCAACATTTGTATTCACATTTTTTATGTTCCATCTTTCCGTTAATGTCGGTGCTATTCCTCCGACGAGTATGGCGTCACCTTCAATATTGATATCTCGTTGTTCAGAGTATCTTCGCCGGCCGCTGGTGTGACCTGGAAGGCAGTGCGTGTGTGCCCAAGTTCAGCACGGAGTTTGGGCCCCTTGATTTCACAGAGCGGAGTGTTGGCCACTCGAATTCAAAAAACGGCTTTTTGGCCATGTGAACTCACAAAGCGGTACTCGTGCCACCTTGCGACTTCACACCTCGGAGTGTTTAAGCATGGGCCGTCCAGACCGTGACGGCCTTTACTCTTGTCAGTATAAGCTGCATCCTCGAGCGAGCGGCGGCCGCCTCGTCGTCGTCGTCGTCGTCGTCGTCGTCGTCGTCGTCGTCGTCGTCGTCGCCGCCGCCCCCTCCGCCGCCGTCGTCGGTCGCGACGCTGCGGGGTATTCGTCGGTCGTCTGTCGTGTCGTTGCCGCCGTCGCCGTCTCGCCCGCCGCCGTCGCCGTTGTCCCTTGCGTTTTTTGCCGCTTGCCTGGACCTCGTGCCCACTGCGGGCGCGCGCGAGGTCCACGTAGACTCCGAGAGACCTCCTCCACCTCCTCCTCCTCCTCCTCCTCCTTCTCTCCTTTTCTCTCCTCTCCTCTTTTCTCCTCTCCTCTCCTCTCCTCTCCTCTCTTCTCCTCTCCTCTCCTCTCCTCTCCTCTCCTCTCCTCTCCTCTCCTCTCCTCTCCTCTCCTCTCCCCTCCTTCCTCCTCCTCCTCCTCCTCTTCACTCCTCCTCAAACTCCTTCTCCCCTGGGGTTTAGAAGGCCGCCTGTCCAGCACACCTGATGTCCTATCACCTGGCGGCGCGAGCAGGAAGGGTGGCGCGAGGGGGCGCAAACACATGGCGGCGCGAGCACGAAGGTCGACTAGACTTGTGGAGGACGATCAATGGAGAGGAAGCATGCTGCCAATACTTTCCACATGTCTAAGACACGTGTTAAACATGTTTTAACATGCAAAACATATGTTTAAAGCATGTTTAGAACATTGTTCCTACATTTTAAAAACATTTTGAGTTCAATGATAGGACTGTCCATTGTCACAAGGCTAGACGTAAGAGTGACCTTCCGCCAGAGTGACCTCTGCTGCGGGCCCACTATTGGTCCCCCGATCGCCGGACGCGGCGCGTGTAGTCGAGAAGGTGTCTGAGAAAGCGGGGCTGCCTTCATTGGGAAGGCCTGGACAACGACAACGACGACGACGACGACGACGACGACGACCTCGTCGGCCTCGTCGTCCTCCTCGTCCAAGTCGTCGTCCCGGTCTCGTTGTTGTGCTCCTTGTCCTCGTTCTTGTCCTCGTCCTCGTCGTTCTCGTCCTTGTCGTCCTCGTCCTCATCGTCGTCCTCGTCGTCCTCGTCCTCGTCGTCGTCCTCGTCGCCGTCCTCGTTCTCGTCTTTATTCTCGCTGTCGTCGTCGTTGTCGTCGTTGTCGTCGTCGTCGTCGTCGCCGCGCCGAGGAGCTGCTGGGCCCCGCGGAGGACCGTGAGGCCAGGAGCCGCACGCTGCAGGACGCGCTGAAGGCTCTGGCCGGCGGGTGGGCGTCTCCGGGTCGTGGCCTCGTACCGTCGAGGTCGACTGCACACTACAGTGGCTTGGCATTGCTTGGACGTGTGCATTTTTCCTTCGGCGAGGGCCATCGAGGAGCAGCTGTGATCATTTGGCGAAAAAACCACGCACGAAACCAACAAAAGCAGGGAATGGACGTCCGAGCGATGGCGAGGTGGGGGCGCGCATCAAGAAACCATCTGAGTTTCATCAGGGTACCCGGTGTACCCTGGGTTTCTTCGTTCCGCGCGCTGCGCGGTGACTTCCCGCGGCCGTCAAAGGAGCTGATCCATCCAGGATGCTCGGGTTTTTCCCTCAGGTGCACCTCGCGCGCGGGTTTCCAGGGTTGGGTTTCTTGCGAGGCTTTCTTGCGACAGCGCCCGCACTGTAGAGTCGGATCCAGGTTTTCGGGGTTGAGGTTTTCGGGCGTTTCCGCAGTTTCCTGGCGGTTTTCCAGCCTCGGGATGCGTTCCAGCGGCTGCGCCTCGCCGAGAGCGTTCTGGGGGTGCTGGGATCGTCCCGAACGGCCGCCGGAGACTCGAGGTTCTGACCCAAAAGCCAGATGCGGCGGCGGACCAAGGTCGGTTCGGGGAGGGTACCCTAGTGTTCTTCGTGTCTGTTCGATGCTCTTGTGCATCCTGGGGAGGGTGCCCTTGGACGTTCTGTCTATTCTGGCCGTTGTGTTTCCCCCTGCGCCGTTTCCCGACGGCCCCTGGAGCCCGGCGAGGGCCCCTGGAGGCCGAGCATTGCGAAAGGCCTGCGTCTTGCTTTGCGACAGAACGCGCGTCTTGATCTTGTCCAGTGCGTCGGACCTCGGGGTCAAACAGCGGCGCTCAGGCGCGAGCAGCGGCCGCGCGCGCTGCCGGGGACGCCGACCTGGCAGACCAGGGCGTGCGCCCCGCCTTCGCGGAGTACCGGCTCACGCCCGCCTCCGCGGACCCCCGCAGGCCGCTGGGGCCGGCACGGGGGCGCTCCTCGCCCGCTGGGGGCCTGGGGCCGGTGCGGCCGGAGCGGGCTGCGACGTTTGCCAGAGTCCGCTTGCCCCAAGCCCAGGCCCCCTGGAGTCATGAAAAAGTCACGGCGGGAGGTTTTTCATGACTTTCGGCCTCTGGGGGCCCTCACCGGGCCTCGGGAGCGTAACAAAACGAGTCAGGACAAAAAACTGGTCCTGGGGAGTGGGTCGAGACCTTTGGGGGCCGACGTCATGAAAAAATCATGAAGTCGGGGTCTGGGAAAGGGGGTCCAGCTGAAAGGTATTGGTGCAATAGATTTTGTACACTAGATCTGCGGGGTTGCAGGAGATGTGGGGCGTGCAATACATTCAGGTGCGCAAATGTATTGCTGTTTTTTCGCGTGCGGCACATTCGATACAATACGATGCAACACATTTCTCCGGCGCAATACATTTGCAATACAATCGCCCAACACTTATTGCACCACCCTTTTTCAGCTGGACCCTCTTGTTGGTCAACCAAACAGGTCGGGGGTTGCTCTGAAGTCGGCGGCGAGCGATGGGGACGGAGCGAGAAGGAGAAGGCCCTCTCAGAAGGTGGCGGGGCTTCTCAGAAGCGCTCCGGCCTTCTGAGAGGTTTCCTGTGCCTTCGGGGAAGGCTCAGCAAGCCTCTCAGAAGAAGCCCGGGGGACTTCTGAGCCTTCTCGGACGGCCTTCTCCTTCTCTCCTCCTCCTCCTCCTCCTCCTCCTCGTCCTCCTCCTCCTCCTCCTCCTCCCTCCTTCTTCTCCTCCTCCTCCTCCTCCTTCTCCTCCTCCTCCTCCTCGTCGTCGCCTCGTCGACGCGGTCCTGGTCAGAACCGTGTCGTTCCCCGCCCTCCGAAGGCCCGTCTCTGCTCCGTCTCGGCGCTGCTTCTCGAGCCTCCGCCTCTCGGGCTCGCGTCTCCAGGGCCCCGTGTAGGGGAACGAAATGACATAAACATAAAAACTCGGACCTCCGAGTTTTTATGTCTATGCCACTTTTTTTTCCCCTACTGTGGGCGAGCAGAAACGGCTGGCCCTCCAGGGCGCAAGGCTGCCCCCGGGGGGAGGGGGCCGGGAGCTGCAGGGGCCGCGGGCGAAGCGACGCACGCCGCCGCGAGCTCCGCCGACCTGAGGCAGCGTGTCGCCTACTGACAGCGGCCGCTGCCGCGTTTGGGCGGCATCTGCGTCTGGGCGCCGTCGGCCCGCACAGCAAGGGTGGGCAACCTTCCCAAGGGTACCCTGGCATCCCTGCCTCCTCGGTCCGTCCTTGTCCACGGTCGTTGGCCGCGCCCCGCTCGAAAGGCTTCGAAGTGGGCGTCCAAGGCCCTTGCATCCTTATCGCGCTTCCTTGTTATGCGGGTTGACTGTAACATGTAATTTTTTCCGTACCCATCGTGGGTGCGCTTATCGGAGCGCATGCAGCGAGGGCCAGCGCAAAGGGCAGGGCTGACCCCGGGTCTGGGAGCCACGTGGCGCCGCCTTCCCCCTCGGGATGCAATTCCTGGGAAGCCAGAGCCAGAATTCAGCACCAACGCTGGTGTATCCGTGGCCGGACACCGACCCAATCTGGCATGCAGTCGACCCGGATTGTAAGGATGGGCGACCTTCCCAGCCGTTGGATCCTTCCCTCCTCGGTCCATCTTCGGCCGCTTTCGTCGGCCGCGTCCCGCTCGAAAAGCTTCGAGGTGGCCGTCCAAGGCCCTTGCATCCTTATCGTGCGTCCTCATGATTTATGATTAGATCTTAGGCTTACGCCACACCGCCGAGCCCTTGGTTTTTCTTGGGGGCTTCCTGGGGGTCCCTGGGGCACGTTGGGGGCGTCTTGAAGCCGAAGGTTCGAAGTGTCCGTTCCAGCTTGGGAGCCCATGGGGCCGTCTTAGGGCGGTCTTGGAGGCATCTTGGAGGGTCTTCCGCGCTGTGAAGGCCGAGCCATCGTATATCGAAGCCGATTTGGGGGGCCCTTGGGTTCTCTTGGAGGCCTCTTGGAGGCCTCTGGGGAGCCTCTTGGGGCCTCTTGGGGGCCTTTTGGGGGCGTGTGGGCGCCTTCTTGGAGCCTCTTGTGGCCTCCTGGGAGCCTCTAGGGGCGGACGGCTGGAATGTTCGTTTCGTGGTCCTCCTTTCGGGCCCCTCCTTGGGGCCGTCTTGGAACCCTTGTGGGTCGTTTTGGGCGCCTCTTTTGCCGTGTTGGGGGCTTCTTGGGAGCCTGTGGGGCCGTCTTAGGGCGGTCTTGGAGGCATCTTGGAAGGGCTTCCGCGTTGTGAAGGCGGAAACATCGAATGTCCTAGAAATGTAAGTTCCCCGAGGGAATTTGACGATTATGGCCTCTTGGAGGCCTCTTGGGAAGCCTCTTGGAACGTCTTGGCGGCCTCTTGGGCTGTCTTCGGCCCATGTTAGGCGTCTTGGGACGATCTTTCGGCCCATGTTAGGCGTTTTGGAACGATCTTTCGGCGTCTCGGGGCCCTCTTGGACCGTCTTGGGGGCCTCTTAGGCGGCCCCAGAAGATGTCGTGGACCTCCAAAAAGAGCCCGGGGAGGGCCGGACCCCCCTGATGAGCTTTGGCTGGACGGCCCCCCCCCTCCAAATCGACCGGGCCAGGCTCCTGGGGGAGGGGTTCGGGGACGGGGAAGCATCTCACACGCGGATGATCCCCAAGGGGTCGGCGTCCTCATGATTCATGATACGGTTTTGCTGTAGTCCTGCTTAATCCATGTTGTTCCAGCTGAATCCAAGGTTTAGTCTGGACTTTTGTGGCCTAGTGGCCCCGCAGTCGGGTTTGCATTCCCGCTCTAGTCGTTCTCGCGAAGGCCTACCAGGAGTTGCCTCCCAACCTTCCCTCCCTCCTGCTTCGTGGGAGCTTGTTCGGGAGATGGCTTGGGCCAGGCAGGGGTCGCGACACTCGGCCGGGCCCCCACGCGGTGCGGTGACCAGGCCGCGTGGTGAGTCCGTGGGGATTCGGGGTCACCGTGTGGTTTTTGGACCCGGGTCGTTCTCCGAGGACGTCTCGGGCAATTGAGGCCTCCAGGGTCCCAATTCCGTGCGGTGCCGGACCGCGTGGGGAGGCGGGAGATTCTGAGGTCACCGCGCCGTCCGTCACCGAGCGGTGTTCGGGCCCCCGAAAGTACGGCCCTGGCCGACCTGGGTCAGCGCTGACCTTCAAGCAGTGGCGAAGCGTCCTGGCTCGCCTATAGGCCCACCGAAGAATGTTCCAAGAACTGGTTGTGGTCTGCACGACATGTTCTCAGAACACTCCTGGCCGAGGCTGTCTTGTTTCAACGCTGCGGGCTTGTCTTCTCGGAACATGGTTTTTGTTGTTGGAACACTTTTATGGGTTCTGAGGGCATCTCTCAGGAGGGAAAAAAAAACACAGACACAATTAATCGTCGACCTCCAGGAAAATGTGCAAAAATAGGGGAAGTGGGGGGGAAGACCCCCCCCCCAAATATGGGAAAATATGGGGAATCTGTTTATTTGTGTGTATTTTTTTGTGTGTCCTGGGGCCCCTTCAATCTCGTGATAGGCCTATCGGAATGCTGCGACGGTCGGTCCCCGCTCAAGTCCCGGGTCGGCGCCTCGGGCCGGGGGCCCCCCCCTCGCGGGGTGCTGCGCGTTCGCGCGCGCGCCTCCTCGTCCCGAGGGGGGCGGCGGCTCGGCTCACGGCGGGACGGGAGCAGCCTGGGGGACAGCAGGGGCTGCGCACGGTCCGACCCCAGGAGGCGCTTTTTGAACCCCTTGGTGTTGGTGTGTATATTCATGTATGTATGTATGTATGTATGCATGTATGTATGTATGTATGTATGTATGTATGTATGTATGTATGTATGGATGTCTGTATGTATGTATGTATGTATGTATGTATGTGTGTGTGTATATCTGTCTGTCTGTCTGTCTGTCTGTCTGTCTGTCTGTCTGTCTGTCTATGTGTATGTCTGTATGCATGTATGTATACATGTATGTATGTATGTATGTATGTAATGTAGTGTAGTGTAATGTAATGTAATGTAATATAATGTAACGTCATGTAATGTACTGTAATGTAATGTAATGTAATGTAATGTAAAGTAATGTAATGTAATGTAATGTAATGTAATGGCATGTAATGTCATGTAATGTAATGTAATGTAATGTAATGTCATGTCATGTAATGTAATGTAATGTAATGTAATGTAATGTAATGTAATGTAATGTAATGTAATGTAATGTAGTGTAGTGTAGTGTAGCGTAGTGTAATGTAGTGTAGTGTAGTGTAATGTAATGTAATGTAATGTAATGTAATGTAATGTAATGTAATGTAATGTAATGTAATGTAATGTAATGTAATGTAATGTAATGTAATGTAATGTAATGTAATGTAATGTATGTGTACATATACATATCCCAACCATCCTCGGGTGTGGGGTCCTCGCTTTGGAGAGACGGCCCTCGGGTTCTCCTCTCCTGTCCTCCTCCTCCCGGATCCTACGCCTCCTCCCATTCCTCTCGATGTTGGGGCAGGGCGGGAGGGGGCTGGTCACCACGATTCGCGCCAGCGCAGTCAGGGAATGCACAATGCACAGGAATTGCTCATTTCTAGACGGCGCCAGCGCGAATCGCGACGTGACCAAGGGGGGGGGGGTAGAAGAAACGTCGTTCCCTGGTGGAAGGGTTCGTTCCCTGCTGAACGATTCGTTCCCCGCTGGCCATTTTCTACAAAAGAGGAGCGGTTCGCTCCCCCGTAGAGCCCCTGTTGTCCTTGAATCTTTCAAGAAAAGTGAAAACCGCCTCTGAGAGGCATTGGAAGGGCGCGTCTCAGAGATCAGAGCCTCTGATGAGAGCCTCTGAGAGGCCTCTGGAGGCTTCTGAAGGGCCTCTGGAGAGCTTCGAAGGACCCCTGAAGAGCCTTCGAAGAGCCTCTGAAGAGCCTTTGAAGAGCGTTTGAACAGCTCCTGAAGAGCTTTGGACAGCCTTCGATAGCCTCTGTAGAGCAATCTGGAGCCT